ATCTCCCTGGGCTCAAGCGATCCTCTCACCGTAGCCTCCTGAGTGGCTGGGACTACAAGCACATGCCACCATACCCAGCTAATTTTTGTATTTTTTGTAGAGATTGGGCTTTCTCCATGCTGCCTAGGCTGGTCTCGAACTCCTTGGCTGAAGCAGTCTGCTTGCCTTGGCCTCTCAAAGTGTTAAGATCACAGGCATGAGCCACCTCACCTGGCCCGGGCTGCTGCTTGCAGGACACTCCTGCTGGGGCACGAGGAGACGAGCCATACTTTGAGTGGTTGGCATTTGTGGGGCTTAATCTACATATTAAGAAGCAGGCGCTACACACACACACACGCACGCAAGTGCACACGCGCGCAAACACACCCCTTTTTTTTAAAGAGGAATCCCTAGTACTGACTAATATTCTGGTCAATCAGATTTCAAATTGTTTGTTAGTGGTTTGTTAATGGAGAATTTGACTTCTTTCCTGAATTTTCATATTCCTAGGTCAGTAAATACCTTATTTTCATCTGCAGAAGAGCTGCCCTAACTTTATTATCAGTTCTCATCCCTGACTTTCCCTGATGTCTTTATCAGCACCTCCACTTTGATTTGAAGCGATCTTGCTTCTCTAGCCAACGATTATCACCTCTGAAAATTTCTTTCCCTCCAGGGTTTCGTCGGAAAGAATTCCGTGGCAAACTGGCCATCGCCATCACAGCAAATTTTATCAACCGAAATACAACAGCAGAGGCCAAAGTGGAAGAAATCAGCGGTGTGGCTTTTATATTCAACCAGAAATTCTTCCAGGAACTGAGGGAAGCCACAGGTTTGTGTTGATGTCTCCAGAGCCCTAGGATAAAGGTTTAAATAGCCCTGGTGACTTTTTCTTGGGGGTTTGGTGGGGCGGGTGGCCGTGGGTGTCACTCTGGCGCTGTCTGCCCCTCCGCTGTCTTCACTCCTGTCCCTTGTTCCTGGCGTCATGCTTCCTGCAGAACGTGTCTCCTCCTCTTGTATTCTTAACTTCCCTACAGTGACTGGGCTGCTCTGGGTTTTGTTTATTGTTTGAGACAGGGCCTCACTCTGTTGCAGGCTGGAGTTCAGTGGCACGATCTCGGCTCACTGCAGCCTCGAACTCCTGGGCTCAAGCGATCCTCTCATCTCAGCCTCCTGAGTAGCTGGGACTATAGGTGGAAGCCACCATGCACTTCTAATTTTTAGTATTTTTTGTAGAGACAGTTTCACCATGTTGCCCAGGCTGCTCCCAGACTCCTGGCTCTACTCACCTCAGCCTCCCAAAGTGCTGGGATTACAGGCATGAGCCACTGCACCCAGCCTGGGTTTTGTTTTTATTTGTTTTAAAGCGTTCGTTCTGCCTCTCAGTGCCTGCCCTGTGTAGTGACGCTGAGTCGTGGTGTTGGGTGTAGCCGCTGGCCAGTGGCTCCCTGGTTTGGTTGGGAAGCTGACTTTAGGCCTTCAAGTATGTAGGCTTCTTCCTGAGTTCCATCTCAGGCTTGAAGGCAAACCATGTGTCATACAGCAGTGAGATTGTTATATGATAGGTTTTGAATCGCTCAACTTAGATAGTTTGCTAAATATGCCATTCTCTTGTTTTCTAGAACTTCATTCTCTTGTTTTCTAGATTTCTTTCCATTACATCTATTTTTTAGATAATTGAATTAGAAAGTCGGTAGTTCACTCTGCTTCCAGGCGTCAAGTTGTCTATCCTGTTCTTAAGAACTTAGGAGATTCCTCCAGCTTCCTCGATGACTGTCCCGAGAGGCTTAACCCGATACTTAACCCAAACCCTGTTTAGAGGTCAGCCTCTTTTTTTTTTTTTTTTTTTTTTTTGGTTTTGTTTTTTTTTCCCCCATCCCTACAGTTCTGTTTACTATCAGTCATTGTTTTTAGGATCATTTGGGGTGTTGAGTGAACACAGAGAAACAAAGCTCCCTGTGTTTCCATGAACTGATGATGCAGGAAGTGAGAGTCTGGGCTTAGACACCTTTCCCTGCCTGGATTCTCATGGCTCTTATCTGCCCTTTCAGGCTGCCCTGATGCACCTTCATCTCAGCAAACTCTTACATGCACACGTTTGTCTTCTGGCCCCAGGTATTGACTTGGAGAACATCGTTTACTACAAAGACGACACACACTATTTTGTTATGACAGCCAAAAAGCAGAGTTTACTGGACAAAGGAGTGATACTGCATGTAAGCCACGGATTTCCTTCAAAACTCTTTCTTGTTGAAGTGGTTAATATCACCAAGAGAAAGAATTGATTGTCTGTTGGGTTTTCCCTGCAAGGGAATGAAAATGAGCACTGGATGCATCTTCTGGTAACCCTTGATATTTTCCAGTTTAGCGCGAACAACTCTTATTATAGCTAATTTCAAATGTAAATAAAAATGGGGGGACAGTAGTGTGATGAACCCTCACGTGCCCACTGTCCAGCTTTAACTGTTCTCCACACATGGCCAGTGTTCTGTGAGTCATATTCCAGTGCACTCCTCCGTCACCGTTGGATCCTTGCAAAGCAAGTCTCAGACAGTGTTTCAACATAAATATTCAGTTCAGTTTTAGGTGATTTGGTTTGTGGTTATTGTGAATTCCATATATGACTGATTATTGGTTGGTTAGAGAGTTACCTTTTGGAAGGGGGAGTGGTAGAGGAAAGGGAGCATGACTGAGAAGCGATAATTGGTGTTTATGGGAGCCTGGTGAGGGTTCTGGTGTCACTGCAGATACAGTTTTCAGAGGTCCAGGCAGTACTGACAGGATCAGGCTACACTCAGGCCTCCTTATGACCACAGAACAGGTCTGAGCATCCATCCTAGCCAGGTCCAGCTCATCCTGTTTCTAGGTGACTGCATGGCATGCCCTGAAATAATGGCTTGAAATGTGAAATCAGAAAACCACTGGGTGGATGGTCACTGAAGGAGAGTTTTTTATGTCTTACTTGGTCTCACTGGTCTCAACATGAGGATCCCTGTCCCCATGCGATGAGAGGAACGGAAGCGGAGGCACTAGTTGTGCTGATTCAGGCCTGTGCAGTTCCCACAAGAGACTCACAGTTGAATCTCAGGGAGTCCTTTGTCCTTGCAGGGTGATACGAATGCAGTCACTTTAGTCTGAGCTACAACACTACCTTATCCGACAGTGGAGAGAGGAATGAGCTGCCGAGCATGTGCCTGCAGCACAGAGCCCCCCACTTTGTACCCGGGAACCTCCCATGTGTTTCTCCACACAGCCATCCTGCGTGCCTTCAGGGAGAAACAGAACAAAGCCGTTCATACAGTCTGCTCTCCCAAAAGCATAAGCAAGACGTATTTGGTTAGATGCTTTCTAAAACTGCTTTGCTGGTTATCTGGAACTACATCAGCATTACACTGCTGGCAGTAAGAAATAGCCAGTGAAGCAGTTCACATGCCATGGGACTAGGTGAAGACCTGAATCTGCCATCTAGGCCGAGCTGTGGTTATCAGTCAGCATTAGATAGGAGCAGTCTAGAAGGCAAGACCTGGTTTACTTTTCCTAGAGGGCAGGGGCCATACCTCCAGTGTGTGCTGTTAAACACTAGACCCATGTGGCTGCTTTCTCAGTGTTGAACAAACAGGATTTCTAGGACCAACCTGAGTGTTTGTGTTTGGCTTTACCATCTTGTAGTGCCAGCTGAAAGGACCATCAGGGCCACTTAGAAACCATAGGCCCCACTTTCAGAGAGTCAAGGCTTGACTCTGTGCCGGGAACCTCCAAAACAGAAAAGGAGCTTTTCGGTCCTTTGTTCTTCTTTGTTTGTGGGTTTCTGTGGAGGCTTTCAGAGTCTTATGTACTATTTTGAAAACCCCTGTTCCGTTTTCAATGTATTCCTTCCCAGCCTCCTGGACTGCTATTGCTCCCACCTCCCTGTCTATTTGGCACTCAAGCATTTTTGGGTTCTTCCTTCAGGTGTTATGCAAGGCTGAGTGTTTCATGTGGTCCCATTTGACAAAAGCCATTTACTACCCAGAAGATAATGATTGCTGATAAAAAAAAAAAAAAAAAAAAAAAAACCTATAAAATGCCCTTTCAGCTCACAAAGTACTGTCACGTAACTTATGTGACATTCAACAACCCTGAGGCAGATTGGATAAGATCAAAGGAGTAGTTACTGCTCCAAGCAAATGGAAAAGCCACGGCTGTGTTTAGATAGCAAGGCCTATGTTATTTGGGAATAATCCACCCCCCTAAAAAAAGAGGGGTTCCTCTTTTTTTTTGAGACAGAGTCTCACTTTGTCACCTAGGCTGGAGTCCAGTGGCACAGTCTCCGCCTCCCCGGCTCAAGCAATTCTCTTGCCTCAGCTTCCTGAGTAGCTGGGATTACAGGCACATGCCACCATACCTGGCTAATTTTTATGTTTTTAGTAAAGATGGGGTTTTACCATGTTGGCCAGACTGTTCTCAAACTCCTGTCCTCAAGTGATCTACCTGCCTCAGCCTCCCAAAGTGCTGGGATGACAGGTGTGAGCCGTTGTGCCTGGCTGCACCCCACCACCCCCTGCCTTTTAATGGTATAAAAGCTTTGGTTGTAGAATGTGGAGTCACTAGGGAGAAGGAGAAGCTGTGACCCCAGAAGCATGGTCTGGCCGAGTGCCAGGGCGTCTCCCTCCTTACCGTCCTTCTCTGGAGACAGGACTACGCCGACACAGAGCTCCTGCTTTCCCGGGAGAACGTGGACCAGGAGGCTCTGCTCAGCTATGCCAGGGAGGCGGCAGACTTCTCCACCCAGCAGCAGCTGCCCTCTCTGGATTTTGCCATCAATCACTACGGGCAGCCCGACGTGGCCATGTTTGACTTCACTTGTATGTATGCCTCCGAGAATGCTGCCTTGGTCCGGGAGCAGAACGGACACCAGTTACTAGTGGCTCTGGTTGGGGACAGCCTCCTAGAGGTGAGTGCGAAGCATGGCAGCCTTCTGTGGTGGGGGGCAGGAATAATTAGGAGTGAACCTGGGCATCGTGGGTCTTGGAATGAGCGACTGTAGCATTGTACAGCACAGGTGAACTCCCTGCAGGAGTCACACCAGGAAGGTGGGAGGGCTACAGGCTTCTGGGAGCCCAGGCCTATGAAGTATGAATGGGAATTCTGCAGCTTTTTTGACTTGCTCCCTACCAATCTGGGAAGCAGAGCAGTTTGTTATTGGAACAGTTGCCAGATACTACTGTTGACAGCAAACTCTTTGTTCCTTAGTTTATTTTTCTTGTTTTGAAATGTGTTTTCTTTTTTAATTCTTTGTTTTATGTCTTATTTATAGCCTTTCTGGCCCATGGGAACAGGAATAGCCCGGGGCTTTCTAGCTGCTATGGACTCTGCCTGGATGGTCCGAAGTTGGTCTCTAGGAAGAAGCCCTTTGGAAGTGCTGGCAGAGAGGTAATGGGAAGCAACCCAGGGTTCCTTTCAGGAGAAAACTGAGGAAGGAGGGTTTACGCTTTAGGCAGAGTGCACATTCTTCCTTCTCCTCTCTCTGCTTTCTTAATTAAAGATGTTTTCATGTTGAAAAGAGAAAAGGCAAGATGGATTTCATAAAATCGTAGAAACCTAAAGATGGGTCCCCTGGAGTAAGTCTTTTCTTACTCCTTTGAAGTTAAATTTCTTATTGAGAGAGAAGAATTTAAAAGTAGCTTTGAAGTCAGAAGAAAATGCCAAACTGCTTATAAATGTTTCTCAAACCCCTAAATGGGATATTTCGAAGCAGATTTTTGCAAATGTAATAAAAACCCTAGGATTTGCTTTCTGATAAAGAACTAATACCTTGACCAGAAGAATCAGAGAGACAGGATTGCCTGGATGAAATTGGGAGTTGATATCATTTTATTCTGTCTGTTATTAAGGCATTCTGGCTAAATATGGTGACAGTTCATTTCTGTATTGATTTTTTAATTGAAGTAAATATCAGTATGCTTGAAAAAAGAGTGAATGTGTGGCCTTTTGCGTTGGAGGTGGTGTCCGTGAACGCTCATGGTGTCAGGCCTGCTGGCTCTCCTGGGCTCCTACCCCGTCGGTACTCGTGGAATCACTGGGAGTGGGTCTGGGAAGTGGGGGCTGATGTGGGGCTCGAGAAGACTAGTCAAGGATGAGGATTTGTCGGGCATGTCAGGTGACTACTGGGCTGTCAGAACCACCAGGAAAAGAGAGGGAGATGTTCACGGTGCTGGTCACAGCTCTGAGTGTATTGTTGTGTTACTGCAGGGAGAGTATTTATAGGTTGCTGCCTCAGACTACCCCTGAAAATGTGAGTAAGAACTTCAGCCAATATAGTATCGACCCAGTCACTCGGTATCCCAATATCAACATCAACTTCCTCCGGCCAAGCCAGGTGAGACCCTTCTTGTCAGTCTTTACATCTGGGCCCATCTGCAGAACTGATCAGAACTCTGATCTGTTGAAATGCATGCAGCTATCAATACCACACATACAAGAATACTTTTTTAGTAATTTAGATAGATGTCTCTCTGAATTGGTAGAAGTAGATATTATTTTCCATCAACAGATTGAGAGCTAGGGCATAGAGTTGTTGAAAGACTTACAGAAAAGCAAACGTGATAAAAATGGTGGGCCAAGGGTTTTATGCCATGTTTCCTAATTCAGATTCTTACTGTAGGGAAGAGCACTTGCCCCGCAGTGAGGAGAGGGACCTTCTGATCACCTGTGACTTGCTTTCTCTGAACCTCAATTTCTTTACCTGAAAAACAGGAAGAATAATTCCTGCTACTCATAGGATCATTGTGAGGGCAAAAGAGATAATGTTCACTTGAAAGAACTTCTTCTAGTATTTTTTTTTTTTTTTTTTTAAGATGGAGTCTTGCTCTGTTGCCCTGGCTGCAGTGCAGTGGTGTGATCTCAGCTCACTGCAACCTCTGTCTCAACCTCCCGAGTAGCTGGGATTACAGGCATGTGCCACCATGCCCGGCTAATTTTTTGTATTTTTACTAGAGACAGGATTTCACTATATTGTCCAGGCTGGTCTTGAACTCCTAACCTTGTGATCTGCCCACGTTGGCTTCCCAGAGTGCTGGGATTACAGGCGTGAGCCACCCCGCCCAGCCTTCAGTGTAATTTTCTAGTCACCTTCTACTTGAAGTTTATATCTTTGGGCCTTCTGTTAAGAGGCAGCATTAATAGTTCAGCTGAGACTCTTAGAGGGACCTCCATGGCCAAGTAACTAATTTTTTTTTCTTTTTTGAGACAAGGTCTTACTTTGTTGCCCAGGCGCTCTGGGGTGCGGTGGCACAATCTCGGCTCACTGCAGCCTTGACTTCCTGAGCTCAAGTGATTCTTCCACCTCAGCCTCCCATGTAGCGGGGACTACAGGCGTGCACTGCCATGCCCAGCTGGTTTTTAAATATTTTGTAGAGACGAGGTCTCCCTATGTTTCCCACACTGATCTTGAACCTCCTGGCCTTAAGCAATCCACTGGCCTCAGCCTCCCAAAGTATGGGGATTATAGGCATGAGCCACTGCACCCAGCCCTGTGTAGCTAATTTTTAGCACAAGATCCCACAGTTAATATGTATGTGTATTTCTATAACCCCACCTTATTTTATAAAGGATTTAAAGGTCATCATCATAACTTCAGTCTGAACTTTGCCCAAGCTTGTATCCCAGTCTGTCCTTTCAGCCATTCTGCTCCTAGGTAGGAATTTGTTACTTGTTATTTGGTTTTCTTTCTGTTTGACTTTGTAAATTTCTGCCAGGTACGCCATTTGTATGATACTGGCGAAACAAAAGATATTCACCTGGAAATGGAGAGCCTGGTGAATTCCCGAACTACCCCCAAGTTGACTCGCAATGGTGAGTTCTGGCGGTGGCTTTTTAAAATGCAGCAGACCCTTCAGAGAGGCCTGTACTCATTCACCGATCCGTAGAGTGTGGTCTCAGGCAGAGGCTCTCAACCAGGGGTGATTTTGCCCTCCAGGGGTTTCTTGTTAGTGTCTGGGAACATTTTTGATTATCATGATTGGGAGTGGGTACTACTGACCTCTAGCCAGGGACGTTGCTAAACATCCTGCAATGCATAAGACAGGTCCCCACCACAGAGAATTACCTTGGCCTGAGATGTTATGAGAGCATAGAAACCAGATGCAGATACAGGGCAAAGGGGAGAGACGGAGAGAGTGTGAGAGCTGTTTTGATAGAAGACTTTATGGAAGAGGTGGTGGCATTTCAGCTGGGTTCTGCAGCACTGCCCGGATTCAGTGACAGGTGAAGGTCACTCCAGATTTTGTATGTATTAAAGGCCCTGAAGACTTTTCTGAAAGAGAATAACATGAGCACACCTGGTCAGCCACACAGGAGAGGGGATGGAGGAGGGAAGTGCCAGAGGCAGGGAGACCAGGTGGAAAGACATCGCCATCGTCAGGCCGAAGGTGGCGAAGGCACAGATCTGGCCCTGATGCTGGGGGTGAAGAAGGGAGGAGGTAGCGGAGAAGACCTCAGACTTTGGGTAAGGTGCAGCTGGGTTCCAGGCCAAGCTTTGCCGTTAATGAGTGGTGCAGCCTTGAAGAGGTGATTGAACAGCTCTGAACTTCCTTGTCTGTGAAGTGAAGGCAGCAGTGTGTCCCTCACATTGTGATCATGAGTGCCGGGCCCACAGTGGACGGTCATTACCGTTGTCGGTTATGCGAGAGAGAATGGTGAGGAGGTAGACTCGATGGGCAGGGGCAGTTGATCGCCTCATGGGGCAAGAGGTCGGTGTTGTAGATGGTGCTGCATCAGTGTAGGCAAGGCAGAGGGAGGGCTGAGAGGTTTGAGTCGTTTGGATGTCGTGACCTCGATGTGCCGTTGGGATGCCAGGGTGGATGTGAGGACCAGCAGGCAGTTGGAAACAGTTGCCTTTTTCTCCAGTGGAGCGCATTCTCTCTGAAATCAGAGAGTGTATCTTTATCACTGTTTTTATTTGAGCGCCTGGCATATTGAAGTTGCCCATACATATTGCATGGTTGGATATACAGACCTGGGAGACAGATCTGTGTAAAAGCTCTTTTCTGAGCCAAGAGATGGCACCAGAAAGTGGTTCTGTGTGTTATGGAGAATACATTTTCATGGTGAAAAACCCAAATGAAACAGGATTTTCGCGATACTCAGTTTTTATCTCATGTTCACAAATTACTAAATGACTTAGTACAAACTTCAGTTTCCCTCAGTAAGGGAATAGACTTTCTTGGACATAAATAGCTCACAGATCCTCACGCCTGTAATCCCAGCACTTTGGGAGGCCAAGTGGGCGGATCACCTGAGGTCAAGTGTTTGAAACCACCCTGACCAACATGGTGAAACCCCTGTCTCTACTAAAAATTAGCCAGGCATGGTGGTGCATGCCTGTTATCCCCACTACTCTGGAGGCTGAGGCAGGAGAATCGCTTGAACCGGGAGGTGGAGGTTGCAGTGAGCCAAGATTGCGCTATTGCACTCCAGCCTGGGCAATAAGAGCAAAACTCCGTCTCAAAAAAGAAACATTTCAGTGAAGCGTAAAGCATCCTAGCACATGTGTTTGCCTGTGCAGTTTTTAGAGTTGAGAATTCGTAACACAAGGTGCCAAGCTCCGTTCGGGGACTGTCTGGTCTGGGGCCCCAGCATTGTCAGCAGAGTCCTGCAGGGCGTCTCCTCTTGGCAAGTTGTGCAGTGCCTTGGGTTGAAACTGCCACCCTATAGGATGGAGCCTTCTCTCCTCTCCTCTTCCAAGTGTTACTTTGGAGGAGGATGCCTTCCTCAGCCAGGTACTCGCGACTGTCCGGGAACTCAGAGCGGCTGTGAGCCAGGCTGGCCACAGTAGGTGGCGTTCCTTCACCTCAGTACCAGGGGACAGTGGGCTGTGGCTGTCGGGCTATGGTCCCTCAGGGTGCCGGGGTGTGAATGTTGACCTCAGACTCTGAATAAACTGCTGGCGCCTTTTCTATTAGAATTCACTCTCGTGATATCATTTGCATAACCTTGCACCCTCACTGTTTCCTTGAATGGAAACTAGTGTTGACTGCTTTGTCCCTGCCCTCAGTCGTGTTTCAGAGTGGACGTGTGTCCTGCGAGGAGGGTTCTGTGTCGGCGTTATCAGTGACCACACCTCCAATAATAACGTGTTTTGTTGTTTTAGAGTCTGTAGCTCGTTCAAGCAAACTGCTGGGTTGGTGCCAGAGGCAGACAGATGGCTATGCAGGGGTAAACGTGACAGATCTCACCATGTCTTGGAAAAGTGGCTTGGCCCTTTGTGCAATTATCCATAGATACCGCCCTGACCTGATGTAAGTCGTGATCAAACTTTCTGTTTTCTCTTATATTCCCAAGGATCTCAGACCACTCTGCTGTCAAGTAACATTTTGTCCTTTTTCCTAGAATGAGGTACATAGTAAGGTACTTTCTGCAGAAGGCAGTGATTTTGATTTCGCTGTATTTGTTTTTTTGTTTGTTTGTTTGTTTGTGAGACAGAGTCTCCCTCTGTTGCCAAAGCTGGAGTACACTGGCATGACCTTGGCTCACTGCAACCTCTGCTGCCTGGGTTCAAGAGATTCTCTTGCCTCAGCCTCCCAAGTAGCTGGGATTACAGGGCTCGCCATCAGGCCCAGCTAATTTTTGTATTTTGTTTTAGTAGAGACGGGGTTTCACTCTGTTGGCCAGACTTGTCTTGAATTCCTAACCTCAAGTGACCCACCGGCCTTGGCCTCCCAAAGTGCTAGGATTACAAGTGTGAGCCACCATGCCTAGCCCGATTTTGCTATATTTGAAACTCTGTATATCATCCATTATGTAGCTCAACCCAGAAGTGATTTTTATTTTTTTATTTTTCAATAAGCCTTTTGCACTCCTGTGGCTAAGTTTTAAAAATTACAACACTCATAAGTTAAAAACTGGTTTTGACACCCACCTGGGCCTGTTAGCTTCACACAAAGAAAAACTGTTTATTGGCCCCGGGTTGAACTCTTCACTTTGGCCAGCTCTCTCTCAAATCCTATGGGTCACAAGGGAAACCTGACCAGAACATTTGGCCAGCTCAAGGCAAATGTGTCACTATTAACAAAACAAAACATCATGAGACTGAACCGATTTATGATGGTTCATCGGTGCGTTCTGTGTGCTAAAGAATGCACTTTTTACAGACATGCTCTGTTGTCCTGCCCACCTATCCCAGTGACAGCTCCTTTGGCTGTTCTCCACACACCTGCGCACAGAATCAGCGCTCTAGGGTGACCCCAGGTCAGCTGCGGGGCCAGCACATCTAACTTTCCCCGTCAGCATTTGTTCCACAGAAGCCAAACAAAAGGATGCAGGAGCAGAGCGTGTTGCTTTATTTTGGCTTCCTGTCCTTTTCATCATTAGGTCCACTTAAGAGCCGGGTTTCTATTTGTTTTGTTTAATGATTGCTTAAGGAATCCTACAAGATATAGTTGCTCTTTATATGATGGTTATAAACTGACGAGGCGAGAGCTGGTAAAAACAGCCCTGCACAGTGTGGATTACAAATGGGGATTTCTGATGTGCTTGGATGGAGGTAAGTGACTCCTGGTGCTCCTGTCGCTTAGCTCACCCAGAAGCTGATAACAAGTAAGTAAAAATAGGGCTTACTTACTTCCACAAAGAAAGGGGGTAAGGCAAGGAAAAGCAGCTTGGGAAAGATTATAATCAGTGGCAGAGGATGGGCAGGTGAGTCAGCTCAGTTCCAAAGGGAAGGCAAGACAGAGGGCACAGGCAGAAGCGGTTGGCGGAGCTTAGCGTGGGGGTGGAGGGGTGCTTGGAGAAGGTTAGGGACCATCTTCTAGGAAGGCCAAGCAGCACAGAACAGCACGGCACTATTCAGCAGCAGCGAGGGCGTGGTATCCGAGGCTGCACCCACAGTGAGGAGGAGTTAGAGAAAATGGAAAAATGCTGTGGGGTCCTAGGTTAACACAGAACAAGGGCTGCTGGGTTAATCTGAAGTCATGTAAAGAAGGCGATCAGTCTTCACTCTGAATAGCAAGAGGCTTAAATCCAGTAGAAAATGGTCATAAATCTAAATAGGAAACTTAGTAATGGAAAAAAAATTTGAGGAGGATTTTGGAATTTCCCCTCCAGGAGAAGACTAAGGTTTACCCGAGCTGATTTAGGACATTAACAGCTTGTGGGATCTAAGCGTCATGGTGGGTGACAGTCCCAGGCCTGTAGGAGCAGTCTGATTCAAATAGGAGATTTATCATGTTTTGACATTAGTTTAATATGTATGAGCCATACTCAAGGATCAAGATATATTAAAGATAGTTCCTGTTACTTTCTATTTTTATTTTTAGAGACAGGGTCTCGCCCTATTTCCCAGGATGGAGGGCAGAGTGGCACAGTCATAGCTCATTGCAACTTTGAGCTTGTAGGCTCAAGTGATCCTCCTGCCTCAGCCTCCCAAGTAGCTAGGACTATAGGCACGTGCTGCCATGCCTGGCTCATTTTTAATTTGAATTAAGTTGGGATCACAGGTGTGAACCACTGTGCCCAGCCAGTCCCTGTTCTCAAGCTTACATTACAGTAGTACATTTGTGTTACCAGAAAAATGAGAGTAGTTTTTCGACTTTCTCCTTTTTTTTTTTTTCCTTCGGTAGGTAGACCTTTAATCACTCCCTGAGGCTGCTTTGCTTTTTCTTAGTAAAGAGAACAAGAGGTGAGATAAAACAGGTTTGCTCTCAGGTGTCACTGGTGCACAGCACCCTGGTTTTTAGCTAAAAACAGAGAAAGGATGATGACTCCATGATACTGTGCTTTCTGTGTAAGGACAGTCGGCCTATCTTCATACATTTTCCTTGTCCTGTTTCTCAGAGATTTTGATTCTTTGGATGAGCAAAATGTGGAGAAGAATAACCAACTGGCCTTCGACATTGCCGAGAAGGAATTGGGCATTTCTCCCATCATGACAGGCAAAGAAATGGCCTCCGTCGGGGAGCCCGATAAGCTGTCCATGGTGATGTACCTGACGCAGTTCTACGAGATGTTTAAGGACTCCCTCCCCTCTAGCGGTAAGGCCTGGGAGGAGCTGCTGTGCCGCCCCTGCCGCTATGCTATGGCCCGGCTGCTCTCCTCCCTCCCTCCCTCCCTCCCTCCCCACCCCGCAGCAGTACCACCAGACACACACAAAGTCACTCTGTGTTTTTACTGGTGAGCTGTCAGGGAAATCTCTGGAACTCTGCTTCATTATGTTTCCCTTCTCTGGTAGCATGTTCTCAACCCTTCATTCTTCCCCAGATCTTTCTCAGTGAATTTATAAATATGCAGAAATCGTTCCTGCACCAAGTCTTTTCCATGCCTCTGCCAGCTTCTAGTGCACCTGCTCTCAGAGCCGGCCTTTGTGAAGCAGCAGTGTGCACTGTGGCCTCTCCTTCTGCATGGCCCAAACTTCGTAACAGATTATAACCTGGCTTGTCTTCACACCGCGCTACTGCAGCTGTTCCCAGGCAGGAGGATGCTCACCTCATACCCTTTTCTCAGTTCCCGTCTCTCACCACTTGCTTTTCTGCATTGTTGGGTGCTGGGGAGTGAGGTCCCTTTTCTTGGAATTCTCTCATCTCCTCAGTGTCTGTGATCCTGAGCCACTCTCAGCTTGTCCCCCTTCTTTCTCCTGTCACTGCCTTCTCTGGCTTCCCTTTCTACTCCTACCTCTTAGCGCTTCCCAAAAATCTTTGCTTGGCCCTCAGCTTGCTGCCTCAGGCTCTCATGGTGCTATAAAAAAGATTCCTGTTGTCATTAACTGTTCCTTGGAATAAGTGTAGCATAAGGCTAGAGTGTTGGCTGTGGGGTCTGACCTGGATTTACAGTTTCCCAGGCTTCCACTTAGCCTTAGGCAAGTTATTAAATTTTCCTTTCTCACTTTCCATCAACCTATCTTGTAAAATGGGTTAATGGGTATAAAATGGGGATAGTATGTATAATTACATTGTGATGTGCCAAGAAGGCCATTTGGCCAGTGGAAGTACTTAATAAACGTTAGTGATTTACTATTAACTGATGACTGCTTTAAAAATTACTGTTAGGCCGGGCGCGGTGGCTCACGCCTGTAATCCCAGCACTTTGGGAGGCCGAGGCGGGTGGATCATGAGGTCAAGAGATCGAGACCATCCTGGTCAACATGGTGAAACCCCGTCTCTACTAAAAATACAAAACATTAGCTGGGCATGCTGGCACGTGCCTGTAATCCCAGCTACTCAGGAGGCTGAGGCAGGAGAATTGCCTGAACCCAGGAGGCGGAGGTTGCGGTGAGCCGAGATCGCGCCATTGCGCTCCAGCCTGGGTAACAAGAGCGAAACTCCGTCTCAAAAAAAATAAATAAATAAATAAAATAAAATAAAATAAATTCCCACACCGTCCTGTTGAGATGTGAATCATCCGTTTGTACAGTGTATCCGCTATAACCTCCTTAATGACTTAGTAGCAGTCTCATCAGATAGACTGTGGCAATGTGCAGTATCCAAGTGCTTGTGTTCAACTAACCCTTATTTTCCTTAATAAAGGCCTCAAGGCCGGGCCCGGTGGCTCACGCCTGTAATCCCAGCACTTTGGGAGGCCGAGGCGGGTGGATCACGAGGTCAAGAGATTGAGACCATCCTGGTCAACATGGTGAAACCCCGTCTCTACTAAAACTACAAAAAATTAGCTGGGCATGGTGGTGCGTGCCTGTAATCCCAGCTACTCAGGAGGCTGAGGCAGGAGAATTGCCTGAACCCAGGAGGCGGAGGTTGCGGTGAGCCGAGATCGTGCCATTGCACTCCAGCCTGGGTAACGAGCAAAACTCCGTCTCAAAAAAAAAAAAAAAAAAAAAATTACTGTTGTTACTAATGAAACATTGAAATCCAAAAAGTTTGTGGTACCACCCTCCCAGTAATTCCCAGCCCATATATTTTTGTAGGCATCTGTGGCTTTTCCTGGTTAGCTGTGCCATTCTTACAACAGAAAGCCACAACTCTAACACTGATACACCCATTCAGTGCCACCCCTGTCCGTGTGCAGCTCAGAGCGTGGCATCTGCATACACTAAAACCAGGAACCCCGAGTTCTTCTCCTCTCTGCCTTTCTCTGTCCTTCTCTCTCTCTCTCTCTCCTGAAATTTTTTTCACAAAAACGAGCCTTCAGCACCTGCTGTAACTTCCCAATCACAGCCAGCTTCCAACTTTTGAAAAACAAAAGTGCAGGTTTTGGTAACTGAAGTAGATTGGGAAGAAGAGTCATCTTTGTTTATATGAATGAAGAAAAGAAGGCTCGATGTCCATACCCAAGTATGCATTTCCTCCGTGGAGTCTCCTCCTGAGACCACATGTTTGTCATAGCTGGTGAACCTTTGGGGCCTTCGGAGGTTCTGCCAACCATCCACAAGGGAGAGTAGTTTTGGTCGGGATTTTGCGTCGCCCTCAAGGGCTGTGCTTAAAACATTGCTGATTTTGGCCGGGCGCGGTGGCTCAAGCCTGTAATCCCAGCACTTTGGGAGCCCGAGGCGGGTGGATCACAAGGTCAAGAGATCGAGACCATCCTGGTCAACATGGTGAAACCCTGTCTCTACTGAAAATACAAAACATTAGCTGGGCATGGTGATGCGTGCCTGTAATCCCAGCTACTGAGGAGGTTGAGGCAGGAGAATTGCCTGAACCCAGGAGACAGAGGTTGCGGTGAGCCGAGATTGCGCCATTGCACTCCAGCCTGGGTAACAAGAGTGAAACTCCGTCTCAAAAAAAAAAAAAAAAACATTGCTGATTTCTGTCTCCAGACACTTTGGACTTGAATGCCGAGGAGAAGGCAGTCCTGATAGCCAGCACCAGATCCCCCATCTCCTTCCTAAGCAAGCTGGGCCAGACCATCTCTCGGAAGCGTTCTCCCAAGGTATGGACAAGTCTCTTGATGGGCTGCAAGGTTAATGGCAAGGTATGCGTGGTTAGAATAATGCAGTTTCCCTCCTCCCTCTGCACAGGATAAAAAGGAAAAGGACTTGGATGGTGCTGGTAAGAGGAGGAAGACCAGTCAGTCAGAGGAGGTGAGATTCATTTGGGATTTGCTGCGGTGGTCATGTGGAATAGCCCTTTTTGGTTTAAATCCTTCACATTGGTATTGCTAGGTGTTTTCATGTTCATCCTTTATGAGAATTTCTATTGGGCTTTTTCTTTTCTTTTTTCTTCCTTTTTATTTTTTTTGAGACAGAGTCTTGCTCTGTTGCCCAGGCTGGAGTGCAGTGGTGCAATCTGGGCTCATTGCAACCTCCGCTTCCTGGGTTTGGGTTCAAGTGATTCTCCTGCCTCAGCCTCCTGAGTAGCTGGGGTTACAGGCATGTGCCACCACACCCAGCTAATTTCTGTAATTTTTTTTTTAAGACAGAATCTGGCTCTGTTGCCCAGGCTGGAGTGCAGTGGTGCAATCTTGGCTCACTGCAACTTCTGCCTACAAGGTTTAAGCGATTCTCGTGCCTCAGCCTCCCAAGTAGCTGGGATTACAGGTGCGCACCACCACGTCCACTAATTTTTGTATTTTTAGTAGAGATGCGGTTTCACCATGTTCGCCAGGCTGGTTTCAAACTTCTGACCTCAAATGATCCACCCACCTTGGTCTCCCAAAGTGCTAGGATTACAGGCGTGAGCCACCACACCCAGCCAAATTGTTCTAATTTTTTAATAGAAATGGGGTTTCACCAGGTTGTCCAGGCTGGTCTTGAACTCCTGGCCTCAAGCGATTTACGCGCCTTGGCCTCCCAAAGTCGTGGGGTTACAGGTGTGAGCCACCGTGGCTGGCCTCTTTGGGTTTTTTCTGTGGATGTTTGCCTTTGTTTAGTTTTCCAGAGCGCAGCTAGGGATGCATACACGTGTGCTGGGGCCTCCTTGTGTCTTTGTTTCACATGTGTCTGAGGGCGGTGGCTTTCCCGGGATGTGGCAGTACCATCACAGGACCCAGTACTCTTTAGACAGCCCTAGTTCCAGGCTTGCTGTCTCCTTGTGGACACAAGAGCCTTGAGAGCTGCCAAGCTCAACCTAAAGCCAGACCACCAGTCCCCTTGCCAGGTCCTGAGCGCACTTCTGTGAGGGAGGGGTATGGGGGGAGCGTCCTGTCACAGCGCAGTCGTCTTTGGGGTTGGTGTTGACCAGGAGGAAGCTCCCCGGGGCCACAGAGGAGAAAGACCAAGCCTGGTGAGCACTCTGACGGACAGGAGGATGGACGCTGCCCTTGGGAACCAGAACAAAGTGAAGTACATGGCAACCCAGCTGCTGGCCAAATTTGAGGAGAATGCGCCCGCCCAGTCCGTCAGCATCCGGAGACAGGTAAACGTGACCCGCGCCTCGCCACACAGATGTGTCAGGTCACACAAGAAGGGGATCTTTTTCTGTCCATTGAGACTGGCTGTGTCACAGATCCCAGGGTTCATGGGCTCAAGACTGATGTGTGGCTTGCCTCAGGCTCTGAGGGTTGCTCCGTCCTCAGCGTTCAGGCCTGAGATGTCCACTGGTAAGAATCAGCAGAGGCATCAAAAAAAAAATCTATATTTATATACCTGTGCATCTGTACATGTTTGCAGACATGTTTAAATTCTAGAGACGTACATGCTTACTGAGGAAAATGCTGAAAAGTACAGTAAAGGTAATTGAGCTACCTGTAATTCTATTAATATTTTCCTGCCCTTCTTTCTGGTCTTTTTTTCAGTGTATTCTTGTTTTGGTAGGTGATGTCATTCTTAACTATATTTTTATTCTCCTTTTTCCGTTTAACCGCAGGCATTCTGATGTTCCTAACTCTACAAGTGCCTTCTAGAATGTGGGGCCATCAGGCTTCTCTTAGCTCTTGCTCCAGTGTTGGGTGTTCAGGTTGTTTCTCATCTCTCATGATAAGATACAGAGATAAACATTCTGTGATAAAACTTCTTTTGTGTGTTGCAGCTGTTTCCCAGGACATTCTCCTAGGAATATGAGCATTTGAGTGCTAAGTGGCACTCCCACATGCCATGCCTGAAGGTGCATGGCAACAGCGCTTGTGGCTTGGGGTGTCTTTGTTAGGGTGTGTCTCTCCCCTTGCTTGTCTAAAAGTCACTCTGACTTCTTACAAGAGGTGGGGCTGGGATTTTGGAGATTGACACTGAAAGTGTCTTATAAATCTCCCTGATAACAGAGAGGCAGGGGCCCCTTCTCTGAATTTCCCTTCTCTCTCTTCATCTTCTCCATGCCTATCAGCCTTTCTTCCTAGGGACCAGAGGGGAGGGACCAGCTTTGCTAGGAGTCTGGCCGTAATTAACTACCTCCCAGTCTTTGCACACCAGTCTTCTCATGCTGTGGCTCACAGAAAAGGTGATGATATTCATTGACAAACAGTTGAGGTTATCTGGAGGCTCTGGCAGCCCCAGGTTCCCCTGCCTCGGGAAGGCTGGAAAGCTATCTGTTAAAGGAAGATTGCCTCTAAGAGAAGGTTTCTTTCCTCATTTTGGATGGGATTATTAGTTTTTCAAATCAGAATTAGTGGTTTAGACTCAGAACATGTAGCTTGGGAAAGAGATAATGGGTGTCACAGCTTCTGTTTTCCTTTTTCTTTTCTTTTGGATTTCCTTTTGGTTTGGGAGTGGGGGGCTCTTCACTTTAGAAGTGTAACTTTCTAAGAATGAATCCTCCCTCTTCCCCACAGCTCACAGATGTGTGGCTGTCCCCTGTGAGTTCTTCTGTTCTTCTCCCACCTTAATGTATTTCTATTTTGTTTTGTCTCCATGTCCTGTCCCCACCCACATCCTGTGTGTCCCAGCCGACACAAGAGCGTGGGGCCAGCCAGCCGTCCTGCTGCCTGCCTGGGCAGGGTCGCCCTGCCCCCACACCCCAGTGGAAACAGGTAAAGGAACTGCCAGGGCCGTGATGGGTGCTGTCTCTCAGGCCTTCCCACCTCTCCTCCTGAGCCATCCAGGGTTCAGGCCTGTGCTCTAGAATCCGAGCTCACGAGGGCCGGAAGCCTCTGCTCATTGAAGTAGTGGCCTGGGAAAGCATTGACCAGGCAGTGCTGATTGGTTTCGTGATCTGTGTAACTCCTGGGGATTTGAGAAAGAGTTGAAGAGGAGACTGTTGATTTGGTTTGAAACTCACTGAAGCTGTGTGGTAGGTGGCTCACCCAAGGGTGCCCTAGCCAAGGGTACCCTAGCTCTTGGGTTTGCTATTGTCACATTTGTTGTAGGTTGACTTTTTTCTAGTATGTCTCCTCGTGACCTTGGGAGAGAGAATTCTGAGTATGTCAAGCCTGAGAGTTGGAGCGTAGAGCCTTTTACATTAAATAGGAAAACGCTATCCAAGAAGAGTCTGGAACAGTGAGTTTTTGTTTCAAATCCTGGTTGAAAGTATTCCTGGGCATTTTCTTGGTGTTTTCTTTACATTTAAATTAACGTTTTTGGAAATTTTCACTAAAACCTTGGCAGGATCTCCTGGAAAACTGCTTATCCTGAGTAGTACAGAATAGTGCAGGTGATGACGTGCGCTTTCTAAAAGAAAGCTCATCAGAGGGATCGGAAGCCCTGATTGCGTTTCCTCCATGTCACAGCTGAGCAAGTCCCTTGGGAAGGCTCCACTCTCGAGTGGAGCCAGGGTTGGCTGCCTCGTAGTGTGATGTCATTTAGGCTGCTAAGATGCTGAGAGGGCCGTGAGCTGGCACTGGGTGCCGCCAGTATCTCCCACGGTCGGTCTCCACAGCCTCCTGTGCTTGAGGGTGACTTTACTGTCAGGAGATGCTGAGGAGTGGTGAGTTGGGTTTTATTTAAATCACATTCAGGCAAAAATGTTGCTTTCTAACCATTCTTTATAACGTAGCACATCAAAGGCAGGGCCCAAGAGGCTGAGATGGAATTTTGGTAGCAGTATCCAAACTCACAACAGAAGGCAAATTTACCCTCTCCTCTATCTGTACTTGAGGGAGGTCTTCTGAAAAATCTAGTTGGAAAACCACTTGCATTTTATTTTCTTAACCTTTGCCTTGATGTCTAGGTGGAAGGTATGATTTGAAAGACGATGTTTAGTTGAGGATCTGTTGAGGGGAAAGTGAACTGTAAATTGGATTGCAAAACCTCTTAGAGTATTCTAACAGGTGCCTGAGATAGGAGCAGAGGGAGAAGGGAGGTCAGGAGTGACACAGGCGAGCGGGGGAACAGGTGGCCGTGGCTGGGGTGGCTGGAATGGCGTTTGGTGGGCAACTGGAAGTCTCCGGCAGCAGGTGCAGCCAGAGTGGCCCTATCCAGCCAAGGCCTCAGCCCTGGTGACGAGGGACGCATCAGCTCATCATGTGACTGAGCTGTACTGAAGGGGCTTCAGGAACTTGGTGACGTGTTCACTAAGTGTCTGGTGGCCTGTAACCCTCATGCTGCATTCTCCCTGGAGAATGTTGGTAGTCCCCGCCAGCACAGCTTGTCACCTGAGTCAGTATGATCATTGTGGGGCACGAGACTGGCAGGCTGTGTGGGCAGTGGAATAGAACCATGAAAGTGAAATGCAGGTTCTGTGGGATGGGCGCCGGAGACCGCCGTTGGAAACAGTAGCTGGGCAGATGTAGAAATGAGACGTGATTGGTGAGAAATCATGAGCCGTGAGAACCCGGTTAGGTTCTCTGGTGCCTTAGGGGATATCCAGTGGGGATTTGCGAATTTACGTGGTAGCAGGGAGATGGCACTGTGAACCAGAACTCACAGTTCTTACATCCACATGAAATGTGTAGTATTCACATAGAAATTTCTCAGCTCTAAATCGTGAGTTTGGGCCTTCTCAATTTATCTCCCGTAAGAGAGTTGGAGTTGCAGTGCCAGATACTACAGAAACCTGGGACAGAGGAACCCCAGTGGTACCCGGATCCTGCATCTGATGCCCCCAGTGGCTGGTCCTCCCCATCTCCCTTCAGGAAGCCGGGCTGAGTGGCAGCACCCTAGTGTGACTCATGGTGCTTCTCTGGAGGTGGTTCAGAGGCAGGAGGGCCTTACCTGGCAGGGCAGTGATAGCTGAGTTAACAGAGGGCCACTTTCAGCCCAGGTCATCATATGGAACAGGGAAATTAATAGCAGCTCTGCCTGCCAGTGGCTTCTCTTTATTTCCTTCCTTTGTAAACACCATGGCCCTTCCCTTCCCCACCCTTTTGCCTTTTGATCCCAGAAATGCATCCTGCAGGGAAGCTCTGTGTGTTAACCAGCCCTGGTTTGGAAGTAGATTGTTGCGGGAGCTCTGAGCGAGTGCGGAGCTGTTCCCCAGGCCTCGTGGCTTCCCTGCTCCCCCTCTCCCTGCGCTGTCCCGTGGGTCACCTGGGCACAGTGAGATGAGAGTTTCCCTGGAAGGTATCAGAGAGGCCTGGGAATGTGTGATTGTTTCTCAAATACCAGGGTCCTTCTATCCTTCTAAATTGTAGACAGACTCACGGAAGGGAATACAGTGGAGGGGGCGGAATGAGGGTAAAGCCGGGAATGTGTATATGGCATTTGAGTGTTAGTGAGACACATTTAATTTTTACATCATGCTCCTGCCTTTCTTGTACTTCCTTGTTAGTTTCCTGGAGCCCTTTGAGCATGAGTGCAGGGACCGAGAGGAGGGCAGCAGTGCAAGCCACTGTCACAGCTGCGTCCTGAAGGGGCTGCCACTTTGCTGCAGTGGGTGCGTGTGACCAAGCCTTTGAGGGGGGTCTGTGTCCCCTCTTGGTGGTTGGCTTGTTTGCCCTTTTTATGTATTCATCAGCAAGCCTATTTCTTTCTTTCTTTTTTTTTTTTTTTAAATTGAGACGGAGTCTCGCTCTGTCACCCAGGCTGGAGTGCAGTGGTGCGATCATGGCTCACTGCAAGCTCTGCCTCCCAGGTTCAAGTGATTCTCCTGCCTCAGCCTCCCGAGTAGCTGGGATTACAGGTGTGTGCCACCACACCCAGCTAATTTTTGTATTTTTAGTAGAGACAGGGTTTCACCATGTTGGCCAGGCTGGTCTTGAACTCCTGACCTCAGGTGATCTACCCGCCTCGGCCTCCCAAAGTGCTGGGATTACAGGCTGGAGCCACAGCGCCCAGCCACAAGCCCCAACTTCCTGACAAAACTGTTGCTCCTGGCACCTGTAAAGTACAGTGCTAATGATTCTCCCTAGTTCCGCAGATCGCTTCTGTGGCTGTGCCTGTCAGAAGGTTCACGTCCCACCTGGGGGTCCACACAGACCACCAACCTGCCCCCTGAGGATGGAGGAGCAAGGAAAGGCCCCCTGGGGTGCTTCTGATGAACGCCCTTCAGTCCTCCTGGAACCAGCCTCCACAGGGCCACTGTTTCAGTAATGTTCTCTTCCTTTGTGTCTGTTGGTCTAAAAGCCACGGGAAAAGGAGTGTTCTCGGACCTGCCCCAAAAAAGTGATCACCCTGTCTCCTCCCCTTACTCCACCTCCCTGTCGGGCGTGTGGCGGCCAGCAGGTGATCCTCTCTGCATGCTCTGTGGTCCTGTCTGTGTCTCCCTGCCTGTCTGTGTAGGCGGCTATCATAGAGACCCAATCAGTTTCCCTCTTACCAGCAATAACTGTCAAGAAGAAAGAAAGGCCATTCATAGAAACCATTTGTGGTGGAAGCAACTTTTATGGCCCTCAGGATGGTGCGTCCTGCATTCACAGCTGACCCTGGGCAGTCCCACATCAGGGAAACACGACGGTGCCACTGTGAACTAGGAGCTAAACTATAACTGATGTTTGTCACACAGCCGAGTCCCCCAGCTCTCAGGGCAGCCTGTTTTTCAAGAACCCCACTGAAGGCAGCCCTTTTCTCTTGCTGCACAGTGAGCAGGGGTAAGGCCTTAGGGAGCTGCTACAGGGCCTCTCCACGTGAGTTTGGCTCCATTTGATTCTGGGAGCTCTGCCTCTTACCCGTTCAGCATCTTCCAACAAATACTCCTCCCACCCCTGTGCTGGCACACTGGGCAGACCATTCAGGAGCGGCTCCATAGCCAGCCACAGACATGGCCAGTGAGGACAGCAGGCGTGCAGCTGCGGCAAGACATTTGTAGAAATCATATTTGTGGTATGGCATTGTTGACCTTCATGGTATGTTCCTATAAAATAAAATGTGAATTCCAAGAGCAGGATCTATGGAAAGACATTTTCCCAACTAAGGTGGCCTATTTAAAGGGTGACTGTAGTAACGTGACTGATTTTAAAGGCCCCACCTGTGTTCGTGGTTCTCGGAACTGAGGCATTGCAGGTTGAGCAGCTGCTGAGTGCCTTCATCTGCGTAAGAGCTAGCCGTCCTCAGCACCTGCTACCACCTGGGAAGCACACTCAGTTCTTTTCAAGCAGTGTCTCTGTCAGTTCTCACAATAACGCTGTGAGGCAGGTGCTGTTACTGGCTCCATTTCACCGGAGAGGAGACTGTGGCATAGGATGGAGAGGCCACGTGCCTGAGCCACATAGTAAGCCATGCAGCCAGACTTGAATGTGGCTTGTGGGGCTGGGGCCACGCTCCAGCCTCCCCCTGCCCACAGAGACTTCATGCTCATGGCTGCTGGATAGGAGCAGCCACGTCAGAGGCCTTGGGGCCATTTTTCCACTGGCACACGGCTGTAAGCCTTAGCCATCCAGAATGGTGCGAGCAGCTGCCCTGGTCCTGTGATTGCCATTCATGGCTCCTCAGATGCGCAAGGCCATGTGCCTGCCTGCAGGTCTCTGCCCTCCCACATACACTTTCCATCTGTTCATCAAAAACACATGCACTTCTCCCTTTAGTAAGTTACGCTTTGGTCCCGTGTTCCTATTCAGGGACCACTCCCCACTCTGGAGTTTCCTCTGGACTGCTGTCATAGTCATTTATATTCTAGCCAATTTCCACCTCCCCACCTTTCCTTCCTAAAATGTCTCGTTGTGGAATGTGTCAGCCTTTTAACCTGCCTCTCCTTGTGACCCTTCCGTTTAGTGCCTCTGATCTGATGCCACCGTGTGAGAGAGCTGTGCTTGTTCACCTTTGTACTAACCACAGTTCCTTATTGATCAGTGTAGCCGGCCTCACTGGAGGCTGCGTGGGTGGAATGGCTGTGCAGAAGGCCGGCCTGTGTCATGGGATTTGGTATAGGTGGGATTATGGTTACCTGGGGATGGAGTTCAGAGGGGAAGGGTATATGGGTTGAACTCTGAATTTCTGCCCCTGAATTTCCCACTGTCACTTAGTAGGTCTGAATAGAGCCATATCCATGGAGCTTAAGTTTCTACTTTGTTGCCAACAGACATACAGGGATCTTGATGCTGACAGCCGTGGCAAGCAGAGCCCCCACCATGAGAGGGTAAAAGAGCATGAACCCACGGCATGGGATGCTGAGAGCCAAACAGATGGGGCACGCTGTGGTGGCGGGGCAGCGGGAGGGGATGTGGGAGGCAGCCCCTCCCTTTGCTTTTTGCACACTCTTGTCACCCAGCCAAGAGCCAGAGTTCTTTTTGCTAGCCATGTTGACCAGTGCAAATAGCATTCACTATAAAGCAGTCATCCACCTGGCATTCAGATGGGATGCTGATCCTAAGTGTGTGGCTTCTTCCAAAGGGCCTTAGTGACTTCCCTTTTCTGCCCACTTCCCCTTCCAAGACCGTACTGTTTCCACTCCAAAATACGTGCCGGTGGTAGAGTCGTAATACTGGACTGTCAGACGCAGCTTCGTAGGGGAAGGGCATAGATCAGCATTCACGTGGCATTCGACAGTCACGGATCCTGAAGTGGAAATCCTAAGAGAGCCAAAGCTCTTACCAGTGTGAGGATTTCCAGTCAGATGAGGATGAGGGGACTGAAGGCAGGTGAGAGCAAGATGGGGCTGTGCTGTGGAAAGCTTTAGTCTTTCCTGAAAAACCAAGGGGGAAATTACTGATCGCAGCTGGCCATCATATAAAGTGAGCGATAGCTGAGATGCCCAGTTAAAGAAGCCGGTTTACTTCATGAAACTTTTGTTCTTGTTATTCCTACCCTTAAAGATCTCTGAGTGGCTATAGCTCTGCAGCTAGTGGGAAGAATCATCTCTAGTTGGTAACCTCACAAAAGCCACTTTGGTTTTTAACTCCCCGTCTGCCTTTGCTCTCTAAGAAATGCAGTATGGCCAAGCAGTAAATGAGGTTACCCCTCGGACCCGATAGGAGCTAATCATAGTGCCATCTTCCTTCACCCTCTTACCAGGCTAGCTGCAGGCAGTGTGTGTGCTGCCTGAACCTGGTGCTGGGTCAGGGAGAGGAGACTGGGCTGGAGGTGGGAGTCTTTCCCATGCCCTTTCCATGGCCTCGCCCCACTGTGCTCACCCTTTCTGGGGCTGCTCTTCCTCCCTTCTTCCCAGCCTGTGTTCCTTCCAAAAGGAAAGCGTCCTTTTCATTGAGTAGGGCAGTGCCTTCCATTTTGGGGATCATATATTTAATGAGATGCTGATAATGTTTAATGAAATAGTGTCTAAAAGAAGGAGGGGAGCATATTGAATAGGAGAGATTGGCAGTGAGCAGCAATTTGAAGTCTAGGGCTGCTCTGCCGAGAGGGGAAGAGGTAGGGTTTTGAGCTCAGGAGGAAGTAAGGTTTGCAGGGAGGTCTCTCTTTTTCCCCGTGAGCTGGTTTCTGCATTCCTCAGTCCAGGGCTCCAGGATGGATGCTTTTGAGGACACTACCTACGTTCTTTTCTTGGACTTTGCTGCCACCCTTCATAACCCTGCATGTGCACTCACCCGCCTTGTGTCCCACCTCTACCCAACCCCCACGCCTCCCCTTGGCTCTGACTCCTCTGCCCCCCAGGGGGTACTGAGTCCTCCTCTTGCTTCCTTCTGGCAGGTGGTGCGTACAGCCATCCTCCCCAGCTTTCTCTGGGGCCTGTGTTGTTGAGACCAGGGCCAGGGAGCTGGCTGAGTGTCTGAAGCAGAGGCTGGTGAGGCACCAGGCAACTGCCACTGCATGTTGCCACCCCACAGAACTATGAAGTGCACGTGGCTGAGGTCGAGGGTGTGACAGATCTGGCTTAGAGCTGGAGAAGCAGAGGGCTTCCTCGTACCATGACATAATGCTGTCCATCCACCTCTAAATAGTTTATTCTGAACCTGGTGGGAAACTAAGCAGTTATTGGTTGCCGAAGCTTTCAATCACTGCCTCACTCTCTGGGGACTGTGTTCCTAGCTACATGGGCCCACGACTGAGGAAGACCCTTGCCCAGTTTTGTGACATGTGCTGTGTGCAGTCTGCAGAGGACTTGGGCTCAAGCCTTTTCTCCTCATCTTTGCTTGGGATTCAGCTGGCTCCTTGGCAGGCAGACCCTCCCTGAGCACTAGCAGTGGAAGAAAGAGATGCTGCATTCGTGGCCCTTATGTAGAAGGAGCAAGCTTCACTCTAGATTCGCTGTCTCCATTGCCTGCTACTTATAAGGCCAATGGAATGATGGGGTGGTGGCAGAATCTTTTTGCCCTGGAGAAATCCCAGCTCAGTCCAGGGGATGCTCTCTGCAGAGCACAGAACATGTGAGTCGGCAGGACACCCCCTGCCCCTGCTGCTGGCTGCCTTACCCACACAGAGGAAGGCTGACTCTGTGCGGGGCAGCCCGCAGCTGCGGGACCGCGTTCCAGGGCGTGCTCTGCTGCAAGCCTGCGGGAAGGACAGATAAAAGCAAAACAGAAGCCTTGCAGGGCCACTCATGCTTCTGGGAGCACGTGGTATTTAGTTAACGGTCTAGAGTAAAAGGCTCTACAGCTGCCAGCCATCTTATGTTCAGAGGTCAGTGTGTGACTTAATAACGTTTCCTTTGATTTTGTTTTTCTCCGTCTTGTATTTTATAGCCAGAGCCTGAACCTCCTCGTCGATTTTTTGTCGACCAGTGGGAGCTTTCTCTTAGTCTCCGCTCCTCCGCCCGCCCTGCCTCTCCCTCCTCCGACTCCCTCCGACAGGTAGCATGGCCTAGGACCCACTAAATCTCTGCCCTCTGCAGCCTCCACTCACTCCCTTTCCAAGGGCCGTTGCCCAGGAGGTTGCAGGGCTCCTCACTTGGGCCTGACTCCTTAGGCGGCCGGCTGCGTGTGTTGCTGGCTGCGTGTGCCGGTCTTGTGTGTGAGGTGCGTGGCACACTCCTCAGCTGAAGTGTCTGCTGGCTTTCCTCCAGCTGCTTGTCACATCCAGGTCTGTCAGTGTGAGCCCGCTTTGATCCGACTTCAACTGTATCAAATGATGATAAACATTGTTCAGCTGTTGGCTTTTTTAACTTCACATGTCTTCCAATATAACATGTTACAAAATAGGAACCACAGTGTGATTAAATCGCCTCAATGGAGGGGTGACATGCAGCATTCTGGCTGCCTGTTACCGTTTGAGGAATGAACGCCACTGTCACCCGCAGTGGCACTGGTCCTGTTGTAAGGAGTTTCTAGAGAGACTGGAAGGTCTCTTTGCGCTTCCTGTTGCTATTTCCTGTTCCTGGGTTGACACCGGACCGCGAGGCATATGTGGATGGTAGCATATGCACACGTGTGGTGTGCAGCTCAATCCTGCGATTGCTGCATTTCCTCTATTTTTTAAGAGTGATGGAAAGGAAACCATCTGCTTTTCATGCCAGAAACAAATAGAACTTGAGTCTTCACCTCTCTTGGAGGGGGGATGCTCGTCAGTGTTGCTGCCTTGCTGGGAACTGAATGTGGCAGATACTTTTGTGCAAGGAGCCGCGGCGTGTAACTGCTGAGGTTGATGGGTTTGGTCAGGAGAGGAGGGTCCTGGCTGAGCAGTGAGGGCCCAGGGCTGACTTGTCCTGGCCTCATACTTGGCATCTGGTCCACACTCCCCCATGTCTGCTGCAGAATGAGAGTAATGCCATTTTATTCTCTCTCAGTGTCAGCTGTTAAGTTACCTGCTCAGCTCTGCCTGGTGTCTGTCTGTCCCAAGCCTAAGCTTCTTTAGTGTCCCTAATCTAAAGAAGGTTTAGATCTAAGAGCCACTAGTTTGTCTTGACCACTAATAGGTCTAATCTGTGAAGTTAATGGGCAAATGGCACCAATCCTTGGGAATCTTGTTTTTGAATTAAAAGCTATAATTGCTTCTTCGGTTCAGCTGAGCCCTGAGCTTAGCCACAGGAACAGCTTCCTCACATGTGCGCCTGTGAGCCCCCGAGCGCCTGCTTCCCCCTGCCCGGCATTTCTGTGATTCCTCCTCACACGTGACCTTATGCGTCTGTCCGTTCAGGCCATGTCCTAAGGGGGCTGTTGGCATCCCCAGGATAATGGCTGATGGTGAGTTTCTGAGTCAGAATTAGGGTCGGGTTCCCCCACAGGGCAAGGAGCCCCCTTACTGCATGAAGTTCATGAGAGGAGCCTCATACACCTGGTGGCATGGCCATCTCCACATGGAAGGATGACCTGGCTGTAGAGTCTCTAGAGGACCTCCTCTGGGACAAGTCAGGGCGGGGCTGCCTGGGTGCCCAGCTTAGGTGTGAGCAGGGCGGCTCACGATGGATATGTGGAAGTTTCTCCTGTGGTTTCTTCAGCGTTGCCAGAAAGAGGCTTGAGTTTGTTGGGTTTTTTCTCTTACCTTTCTTCAACCTCGAAAATAATCCCTCCTGGCCTAGAACACATTCCCACCTCCCTGGGCTGGTGGAGCAGCCTGGCTGCATGTCAACACCTTGTGGCCAGCATGCCCAGCCCAGTCTAGAAGGCTTTGGCCTCAGTGCCTGGGTGGGCCACGCGGCCCTCATCGTGCTGCCCTCAGACCCCCAGTAACATCAGCAGGGAGAATGGGCTGAGAAGCCTTCTTCCAAAACAGCCTGGGAGCGTTCGCTGCCTGTGGCAGGCATTGTGGGTCCAGCGTCAGATAGAAGGAAGAGCTGGCGACAACCGCTACCCACGCAGAGGTGACCCATGCAGGAGCAAGAGGGGTTCCTTCTGATGGAGGAGGTGGCCTCCTGGACCGTGGAAGGCGGGGTCAGCCTGGGCACCACTGCGTGCATGGGAGCACCCCTTGAGCTCTGTGAACGTAGCCAGGCTTAGCAGGACCCAGGTCCTGCCTGCCCTTCTATGTGCACGTTCGCCCTGCCTCTGCCGCCCTTCCCTGGAACTGTGCATTCCACAGAGATGGGAGAGAACAAGCTCTCGCTGAGGAAGACGCTTTCCCTGCACCCGTCCTGCCTGTGCTGGTACCCTGTGTGGACACTGACGCCATGTTTTTCTTACCACCAGTTTCCCTGCTTGTGAGCACTGTGTTGGCATGGTTTGCTGCTTCACCCTGTATTCAAATTGCACTTCTCAAAGATTTTTCTTTTTCCTGTGTCTTCTTAATTTATGTATTTTTTTTCCTTCTCATGTCCCTTCATTTATGTCATTTTGTAATCTTCAACCAATAGAAGTATATAAAGATGTACACGGGCGGAGTGAGCTCATTGGCTGAGCAGATAGCCAATCAGCTTCAAAGGAAAGAGCAGCCCAAAGCCCTTCTAGACAAGAAGGAACTGGTAAGAGACGCCTCCAGGCACTGTCTGGCTGGACCCAGCACAGCCGTGAGAAACACCTGTGTGTTTGAGTCGCTTATAACTTGTGCAGCCCGTATATGCCATGCGGTGATTGCTTTTGAGATTGTCTGGATTTTGATAACCGACTTTCTAAGACTGCAATAGTTGTGTGAAAAAGTGGTCACTCTAGAGTCTGGGGGACCCTCATATATTCATTAAGAACCACGCCAACACTGAATAGATACCGATACAGTTATCCTCGAAACAGAACTCTGCCAGCGTTTCCCTTTGAGCTGGGGACCCTCAGGCCCCTCCTGCCTTCTTCCATGTGTGTCTTTTCCATCATGCCCCTCCCAACTTTTCTAAACCCTCTCTCTCCATTGCTCCTTCTCTAAGACTCTTTCTCAGAGATATTTCCCAGCCCTGCCAGGCTGTGTCATAGCATTCCTCAGGTCTGGTGTGAAGCTCTGTTGGTGCTGGCTCCCTCGTCAGTGGCAGGCTGGCTTGGGCTCTAGCGGTGGCGCTAAGTGTGGTCTGCCAGCGTGGAGGCATTGAGTGTGGCGGTGCCATCGCTCTGCGGCAGAGACGAGAGCACAGTTGACCGTAGCCAGTTAGCAGTGTGTCTCAAAGCAGACCACTTAGTGCCGGCTTCGCTCTCACCAGGGCTGTGCGCCTCTAGGGGGGCCTGCGCGGCACTCCCTGAGGTGCTCCTCTTCCTCCCGCCCACCGCATCCTGCAGGGCTCCATGAAGAAGGAGTTCCCGCAGAACCTGGGAGGCAGCGACACGTGCTACTTCTGCCAGAAGCGGGTCTACGTGATGGAGAGGCTGAGTGCCGAGGGCAAGTTCTTCCATCGGAGCTGCTTCAAGTGCGAGTACTGCGCCACCACCCTGCGCCTCTCAGCCTACGCCTACGACATCGAGGACGGTGAGATGCCTCGTGCCCCCGGCCCCACTGAGAAACTGTGCTTGGACATTGTTTCCCTTTGAGCTGGGGGCCTTCGGGCCCCTTCCTGCCTTATTCCATGTGTGTCTTTTCCACCATGCCTCTCCCAACCTTCTCGCCCCTCTTCCTCCATCGCTCTTCCTCTAAGACGCTTATAAGTATTTCCCAGCATCACCAGGCTGATGAGAATGGCGCACATTTACCTCAGTCAGCACCCCAACCTCACCGACACTTACTTGCTTTCTGACCTCAGGGTGGGAACTTGAGATAAAAGGAACACAATAGAGATAGGGTTTTTATCTTTACAGAGGGGACTTGCAAGTCCATAGAAGTCACATTTTTTGCCTTAGGTGGATGATGACAGCAAGTTGGAGCTGGGTCCTAGGCCCCTGGGTTCTCAGACATTTGCTCTTGGAGGTGACTGCAAGGTGCCCCGTGTTAACACCTTCCTGGTTCTGTCTAATCTCTGTCTGGTGAATTGAGAACCGTTGCGCAGGGCCTGAGTCTAATTTACTGTGGTGGTCAAGGCCTGGTCTTTTGCAAAATGTGCTGGTTTTTACAGTGAAAAGATCTTGATGAGATAAACAATAGAGAATTATGCACACGATGATAGAGCCATCATGATGGGCAGAGGCAGGCTGGCCGCCATCTGACGACCCTGATTGATGACTCCCATCTTATTCCTATTCCTGTAGGATGCTGGAGGGGCTTCATGGGAGGTAGTCTTATAGATTCCAGAGTAATGAGGGGCCTAGAGTAATAGGAGAGGCAGTAATCTTTTTTTTTTTTTTTTTTTGAGAGACGGAGTTTCTCTCTTGTCACCCAGACTGGAGTGCACTGGCACGATCTTGGCTCACTGTAACCTCCACCTCCCGGGTTCGAGCGATTCTCCTGCCTCACCCTCCCGAGTAGCTGGGATTATAGGGGCCCACCCCAATGCCCAGCTAATTTTTGTATTTTTAGTAGAGATGGGGTTTCACCATGTTGGCCAGCCTGGTCTCGAACTCCTCAGCCTCCTGAAGTGCTAGGATTACAGGCGTGAGCCACTGCACCCAGCTGAGAGGCAGTAATCTTTATAAGGTAACATAAAGTCCCTGACATTGATAGAAGATTGCTTGTCTATGAGATTATAAAGTGACGTCGTATAGGAGAGGGATGCCATGCTATTATGACCTAGTCACTTTGGCTGTCCTGAGAGTGAACGAACAGGCACTTCTGTCACAAGGAGCCCAGAGAGGTGAGCTGAGAAAGGCTGTCATGGTGCCTGGGCCTCCTACTATGGTGCCTAGGTAAAAAGCACTCCTGAGTGGGGAAGAACAGAAGAATTAGGACGCTGTTTAGATAAGGCAGCCAGATTGTTAGCTGTCAAGTCTTCTGTTCTGCTTCTCCCACACACCTGCTCTCTGGTTAACACCTTTGATCTCAAGGATGGGGCCTGGCAGAGGGAGCCCACCCAGCCTCGCTCAGCCGCCCCGGTGCTCAGGGTATTCTAGTTAGCCTCTCACCGTGGGGTCTTCCCCGAAAGAAGATGCCACAAGGTGCAGCTGATTGATCTAGGGGTACTTTTGCCCCTGGATGGGTGTGCATCTTTGCTGCATTCTGTGGAGGATGCAGAAGGATGATGGGTGCCTCCAAGAGCTCCCTTTCCTGTGGGGATGAGACCATAAAGAGTAGCAGGCAGCACGAGTGTGTGCAGTGAAAGACCCGGCTACACAGCCTAGGCTGTCGCTTCGTAGAAGCACAGGGGAGGAGGAAATCCTCCCCTGTTCAAGAGCGGCTTGGAATGACCTCCCCGACCCTTGGCTACACTTGCAGAGAGAAGGGTATGGTGGCTGAGTAAAGGGCAGAGGTGCAAGTAGGAGCTCGGATGGCAGTGACCATGAGGCCGGGGCAGGATGAGGCCAGGCTGGTTGAATGCCATATTTTTAATACTGGAGCAGAGAAACGGCCGTGCTAAACCAGCTCCCCAAATTTTAACCCAGAGAAAATTTTAATCAGCTTAGTCCCTCCACAGACCTCTCCCTCATCTGTCAGAGGACAGGTGGACTAGAGGCAGGAAGGAACTTTAGGGGCCTGTTCTTTATTCAGGTTGCCAAGTGACTCAGAAATCTAACTGAAGAGCCTCAGAAAACAAAGAATAAGCCGCGGGGGTTGTACATGAGAAAGTAACCCAGGCCTGTGCTGGGCCAACACATCACGCCCTTTGTCCTCACCACAACCCGATTAGGTAGCTCTTTATTTTATTCTATTTTTTCACTCCACCTTTAAAAAAAAAGAGGTAGCTCTTTATTACTGTAATTAGAAGTCAGGAAGCCGGGTTCAGAGAACTTAGATGTTGTTTGTCCAAACTGACACAACTAGTCATAGCCAGCTTGCACCAAATGACACCCGAGATTCATTCCAGGTCAGACATTCGGGGTAGTGACACCAGACCTGCTGCTGACTCCATAATAGAAAATTGAGAATCTTATTTGAAGATGTCTCTTTGTTTTACTTGGGGTGCTGTATGTTCTGTCTTCAGCTCTTTCTAGAGGATGCCGTCTGCTCAAACACAGAGCTGCTCTTTCCTTTTTTGCAGAGCACTAGCTCATTTGTGATCGCTGCCAGTTCCTAAGACAAGGACCCTAAATTAGACAGTGTCAGCCCTTCCCTGTCATCTTGAGAAGAGACACACACTACCTGCACAGGTGGTGTGTGCAGGATGGTCCTAGTCAGTGACGAGCCTGAGGTGGTCTCCATCCCTGCAGCAGCCCCCAAGCCAGCCACACCTTCCGCCTGGACTGCTGGCCTCGCTGCCTCTGTTACACCCCAGCCTGTCTCCACAGGGCAACCAGAGGGATTTTAAAAGGTGTGACTTGGATCTCACCAGTGTCCTAGCCACTGCTGTGCAGAGAGCACGCAGCCTTGTCCCAGGCAGAGAGGGCATTGTGCATCCACCCCAGCCTCTGCTGTCAGCTGCCCCCAGTGTGCTGTGCTTTTCTCTCCAGCGTCATTCCATCCCATACGCGTGATGAAGCCACTGCTCCCTTAGGACATGGCTCTGTTGTGTCCTCTCCTGGAGTGTACCCCCAGGTCTCCACAGAGTGAGCTGCCTGTGGCCACCGTCTCCATGCAGCGCTCCTCAGAGAGGGGTCTGGCCCTTTGGATAGAGGGCAGCTGCCCAGGCACTGCTGTGCCCATGTGGTTCTGCATGCAGGGCTCTCGCTGTCTCATCTTACCCATGCGTCTCTGGAGAACCTGTCTGCTTGCCTGGGGGGCTGTCAGTGCTCAGATCAGCAGCTGTCATACTGTGGCACTCAGGCCTGGGGCGAACGAATGAACTAACAAGCGGCCTGTTTGACCTTCAGTCCCCCTGTGGCCATCCGTTTTCTCCATTTCCCTTTTCCAGTCACACTTATATTCAATTATCAGGATTCCTTAATTGGGACCATTGAGTATCAGTCACTTGACTGAATTACCCGCAAGTCATAGCTAATTTTTAACCATTAACATAGCGTAGCTGGGTTTGCCACTGAGGCGAGCGTGGCAGTGTCATGGTAGTGCAGGCTCTGGTGCCAACGTCCTGGGCTGCCTCCGCCTCTGCGGCTCACCGACTGTGGGATGCACCGGGCAGGTCCCTCGGCCTTCTGTGCCTCACTGCGAAAGAGGGGGGTACTGATGGCACCTGCCTCACATGCTCATCTGGGGACTAAATGAGTTGATAGATGGAAAGCAGTTAATATAGTGCCTGGCACTTGGTAAACGTTAACATTGAAATTCGCTTTAAAAAAAAAATTTTAAAAGCACAAAGTTCCATCATGTTGAGTTTGGGAAGGGGTATAGGGCGATGTGTACACATGACTTGGGCATGTCATTGCGTAGCTCTCCCTACGAGGCGGGAGCTGTGTTCACCTCCATGGGAGGAGCCATCTTCCAGAAGACTGGCAGGTTCACACAGCTGCTCAGCAGTTGAGACAGCACATAGTTAGCTGATCTCAGGAACTGAGGTCACACTCAGTTAGCACTCATACTCCTCGCATCATCTGTACTGCCTTCCTAGAGAAAACAGCTCGCTGGAACTTTTTTGTTAGGCTTGGAAAACTTGTTTTTGAAATGTAAACCTCTTTTCTTTATTGGTTTAGGATACCAGAGCAGGGTTCAAGGAGGATTCAGTTGAGTTCAATTGAGTAATAGTTTAAGATCTTGCAGAAACAAGCAAATTCATGTAGAAAAAAGTAGAAGAAAAAAATAAAAGCCGTGATAACATTTTAGTTTTCGGATACTGTCATAAACAAAGCTCTTGGTGACAAGTAATAGGATCACTACGCAGATTACAGCTGAAGCTTCGCTTTACAGCCTCCATCCAGATAGCTGTCTGCAGGGAAGGGCTGCCCCTTCCCTCCCCCTCACCATCCAGCGAGCCTGCCTTTAGCCCCATGCCAGTCCGCAGAGCACCCTGTTCTGGGCAGGGTGGAGGGAGTGGGTGCCCAGTGGCCTGGGTCATGCGTTACTGGTGGTGGAAGCTCAGGCCACTTGGTTGCCAGCCTCTGTCAGAGTCACATGGAGGAGAGCGGGGCGTTTCTTAAAGAATGAGATACAAAACAGACCAAAGCAAGTAGCGCGTGATCCAAGCACTCACACATTTTCTCTCACGCCAACTATTGGGGGCCAAAGTTTACAAAAGCTGAGTGGCTTATTCACATGGGGAAAAGCAGCTGTGAAGCGACAAGCAGCATCCCATGGCTGCACTCCCCTGCCGGAGAAGCAAGCATGAGACTGGCCGTCGTGTTCCCACTGTAGCATCTCTGCATCCTGGCCAAGCGGCAGCAGCCAGTGGCACATTCTATGTAAGAACATATACTAGGCATTATGAAAATCATATAAAAGCTATGTCCTTTTAATAGAGTTTCTCAGCATTGAATGGGGAGTGCAGGTAAAACTAAAGGCAGTTTCTCTGAAGGTAAAGAAGAAGGATATCATCAGATCATCAGGGAAAGGGAAGAATGCCACCTTACCTTCATTCGCTTTGACTTTTAGGTCCTCTTATTGTAGGTTTGAGATCAGGAAAGCTCATTTGTCTAAGGAGCGCACTCTACAAATGAGGAAAATGAAATGAGATGACTTCTGTTTCAACAGCTTCTATAGTAGGGTCTATCACTTGAGATTCAAAAGTCTTACCTCTTTTAAGTGAGAGTAAGAAGAGTCAGAAAAAATGACTCTGAAGCTAATTCCAGTACCAGAGTCATGGGAAAAGCCAAGCTCAGTGTTGTTCAGATTGTTCTGACCACACCCGCAGCGGGGAATACACGTTGCATTAAGACCCAGACACAGCTGAAAGTCCCAAGAAATACTGTTTTATTCTCATCATGCCACAGCACACTCTGGCTTCTGTTCTGTTCTGCTCTGTTCCATCCTACTCATAGTCCACTGCAGAATTTTTTGATGTGTAATGTCCTTTCCTGCTCTTCCTCACCCTCTGAGGGGTCACAGCCTGCCGTTGGCCCCGCGCCGGCTGGTGGAGGAGCGGTGAGGGGTAGGGTGCGGGAGGGGGAGCAGCAAAGGTAGGCCTGTCGGAGCCAGTGCCCAGCGATGCCCCACCCCGCAGCCTCCATGCCTCCACCCCACACTTGTATTCGTTCGTGGTTTCCCCAGCAATGCTGCTCGCAGCGTTTCATGTGACCACGTCTTTGTTCCTCACACACTGCCACTTTGTTTGCTGGCCCTGCCGCACAGGCCTCACATCTTTGCTCTGGGCACTGATTGGGTGATGGCTCAATGGCCTTCACATTCCCAAAGGAAAAGCCCCCCTCAGGCCAGGGGAGAGGAGGGCTGAATCAGAGTTTACCAGGAGGCACGGGCTTCTCTGGACAAGAAAGCTGGGCCCAGGGAAGGCTGGGTGGGTTGACGGCCTCTTGAGGCTGAAGGAGATGAAACGGAATGGCTGAGACCAGGGAGGCATGTTTGGGATCAGGACCTGGCTCATCGCTTGTGTCCCTGCCTCTTGCTGTTCACAGGTAAATTCTACTGTAAGCCACACTACTGCTATCGGCTCTCTGGCTACGCACAGAGGAAGAGACCAGCGGTGGCTCCCCTGTCTGGACAGGTAATGGTGAATATCCTGTAAGTGGGGGAGAAGCAGTGGGTGTTGTGGCAATGTGGCTGTGGGCCCGCAGCGGCCATCCTGCAAACGCCCTGCGGCCTTGCCTCTCTTGGGTACAGGGAGGGCCCGAGATGCTTTTGCAGTCTTGGGTGGGGAGGGAACCATCTTTTCATGGGTGATCTGAGGTTGCCTCACTAAGGTAAGGCCCCACTTGCCACCTGAGTCGGGCCCAGGAGGTGATGCAGCCCTCCGTCTCAGCTGCATAGATATTCGCCTTTGTCAACAACACATGCACATTTCTGAGAGAAGGACACTGTGCCACTGGGTGATGGCTACTCATGTTCCACATGATTAGAGCCCTCCTCCAGAAAGGCGGGGTGGGAGAGGAAACTGTCAGGATCCCTCTGCTCCTCGGTAGTGCCGCCCTCACTCCCCACACCCACAGGGTGCCCTGCCTGCGGGGCCTTCAGTTAACTCATGCTATGAGTTACTTGTCTGAGAACTTTTTCCTTTCTTATGCTCTTTTAAATGAGGGTGGCTTCTCCACCTAGCTTTGCCAGCGTGAACCCATTAGTCTCTTCAGCATGACTGCCACCTTGCCAGCACGCCTGCCTGTCAGTCCCCCGTGAGGGGCTTCTGTTGCCTGCAGAGGGACTTGCAGGAAGAGATGCAACTAGGTGGATCTAGACCTTGACTCCCAGTGACTCAAGAGGCTGAGGTGGGAGGCTCACTTGAGCCTAGGAGGTCGGGGCTGCAGTGAGCTGTGATGGCGCCACTGCACTCCAGCCTGGGTGACAGCAAGACCCTACCTCTTAAGAAAAAATTAAATGTAAAACCAGCCTGTCAGATTGTCGCTTCTGGGGATTTGGGTGCTTCAGTCAGAGTCACTCTTCTTTTTCTCATGGACTTTCATAGGAGGCCAAAGGATCCCTGCAGGATGGCCTCACCACAGACGCAACTGGACGGGCCAACGCAGTGGCCGGCTCGACTGAGAGAACCCCAGGTAGCCTCACTTCCTTGTTTGGCTGGGTGGCGCGTCACTCCCTCGGCCTCTGTGACAAGGCCAAGGGCATGAGCCAGCACCTCCAAAGCAACATTTCTTCAATCGGGCATCAAGTGGCCCAAAACCCTCTGGACTCCTTTTTCATGTGCCAGCTGCTTGCGTTCGGGGTCCCCTTTCTCTATGGCCTGTCGGAGGTGCTGGTGCAAATCGGAGGGGAGTTCCACTGGCAGGCTGTGGCCCAGTGAGGGGGCCGTCTGGTGGGCGGCAGAGCTGTGAGGCGCCATCTCTAGCCCCGTCCCGCACCATCTCACATCAGGGCAGCCCAGAGCCCATGTAGGTAGACAGGAGCTCGCAGGCACTGAGACAGGCTGCTCCCGTCACCACCCCTTGTGAGGCCAGGGCCTTCATGCACCTGTCTTCAGGCTCCTCTGGCAGCATGGAGCTGTGTCGATTAAGCCCTGGGGTCTGGCTTTGTATTTCCCTGTGTTTAAGATTCTGCGTCCTGTTCCCTGTCGCCGCTCTCCCATCTGCTCTACAGCATGATGGGGCATGCCCTGCCCTGACCCCTTGGCCACTGGGCTTCTCATGAGGCCCCAGCGCTAATCCATCCCACTTTCACAACCACTCCTGGTGTTGGGAAGTGAACACCGCCATCTCTACCTCTAAAAACACATTTATTCTGCTCATAGCATGGCAGGACTTGCAGGGTTTGTGGGTACAAGGCCTGTTGGGAAGAATTATGTAGGTTTTTTCCCTAAAATGGCCTCTCTTAGCTCCATGCAAAACTTGCCTGTGAGATGCATCCACAGCTCCACAAATTGCCGGGTGTTCTGAATGCCTCAAATGCAGCTCCAGTTGGCTCACGGCGCAGGGTCACTGTGGTGAAAGGAGGTCAGCAGGGCTGTGTTTATGCCTGTCACACTTAACTCTTGTTCAAAACACATGTATCTCAAGCAGCTGTGTTCAAAACTCAGAAAAACTGAAGATGGTTAGCCAATGCCAGAAACCATGGAGAAGGACTTGGTAATAGAATTTCCATGGTGGGACAAGAGAATTATCCATTTGGCCTTCAGTGAGAGGCTCCCAGAGTTGCATCCTTTCCCTTCCTTGAGAGCTGGTTCATGCAGGCCTTGTGGTCCTCATCCTGGGAGAGGGAAAATGCCCAGAGGCTGGGCAGTGCACCCTGGGAGCAAGGAGCTGGAGGCTGAGACCCAGCAAGCCCCAGGCAAGCGAGTTGAACTCAGCTCCTGCTACTGCACGTGCCCTTATTATAATCTGAGCAAGGTTTTTAAGTGTCCTGTAGGTGGGACCAACATTTTATAGCCATGTTTCAACCATTAATGACTTAAACCTTCTACAACCTTGAAGATCTTTATAATCCGTCTTTCTCATGAAGTACCAAGAGCCCTTTGCAGCTGACACTCGAAGCGTGGACAGAATCACTGGCAGAGAAAAATAACCCCAGGTGTCTGGCCTTATGCTACAGAACGCATGTTGGGTTGGGGAGAGTGCCACTTTATCAGTCTGGGCCCTATTCCAGCAGAGATGGATTTTCTGAGGAACCCAGCTACCAAGTAGAACATCTCAAGGAAATTAAACTGCATTTGGGTTTGAAGTACAGAACATTCTTTAAAAAGAATTAAACATAATGAAGTTTAGGTTATTCCTCAATGAAGCCAAGTTTGCCGACTTTCCCATCTGGTTCAGGTTGCCATTCTTGCCATCTAATTGAAAGTATAATGGGTTTCAGGTTTTTAGGAGTTCTAAAGAATTAAGGGTTCCATAGAGAAAAAGAAGAATGTTCTACATAGTGAGGAGACAGAATAAGAAAGGAGAGTCGGCAGTGCGGTGAAAGAGCAAAACCACCGAGAAAGAGTCAGCCCTGAGGACGTCTCTGTCCCTGTGGTTCTTGATTCTGAGCAGGCGGTGACTTGCTTGGTATAGCATAGGAGTTCAAAATGTGTTGTCCCAAAGGAATCGGAGTGTGGACCCTTTCGGTGAATGACGGGCACTGTCCCCCAGCTTGGGTGGCAGAGGCCAGCAAGCTCAGGGCCGAGGGGCTTAGCCTGCGGCCGCTCAACATCTAGAGCATGCTTCAGGCACCTTGCCTCCCTGTGAGCTCGCTCTGCTGCCAGCCTTGGTAGAAAGGGAACAGGATGATGGGTGGTGTTTTATGGTTGGCATGAAATAGATACCTACTTTGATAGAGATTTCCTTCTTTCAGTATGAAAGTGAAGCTTTGATGACTTAACTAGATTTCCTTTTGAAAAGCTTCAGAAAAGCTCGGGTGTTTCAGGGTCCCAGAATGAATGTTGTAGAGAGCAGTCATTAGCCCAGGCCCATGGTAGCCGCCTCCACTGTCACTCGACCAGAAGAGGCGATGATGAAGGCGCTTGACTCCTGTGTGTGACTCGGCCTTCCCCCGAGACCTGCTTCCCCAGGAGGCAGGGCTGGTGGAGCTGTGACTGGGCAGTGTTTCACCCGGCAGTGCTTTCCCTCTGCGCCTCCTCTTTATTTGTGGCATTTCTCTTCTCCCTTATGTTCTTTTCCTCCTTGTGCCAAAATTCTTGTTGTTGCCAAAACAAAAACAGAAAACCACACCCATACCTAATTACAACCCACAGTTCAAAGGACCCACTCTAGGTCTGCTGTAAAGTGTCACCTTTCTCTGGTAACCAAATCTGTGCCTGCTGCCTCATTTAGTGTTTGGGGGCATTGTTTACAGTATTTTTGTTTGTAATGTGCTTTTAATCTAGAAATGTTCTTCCTTATTCTTAAATCTATAAATGCTCTGTTTCCAAGCTTTTACTTAAAACTACATATTAGTGGTCCTGGCACAGATTTTCTCACCCTGGCCTCGTGCTACCCACCATGACTAGACAAAGCTTGAACAGCAATAGGCAGAGGAAGGAAAACCCCACATGGGATTACTTTCCCCTTGGACATGAGAAGTTCAGCTGCAGGCATCTTGAATTCGTTTTTGTCCAGAGGGACCCTCTTTTTATCCGATACGGTAGATGACCAAAAATGAAGCAGGGAGGCCGAAGGCACAGCCGGAAGGGAACAGAAGAGCTTTTTCCCAGGACTGTCATCACCTGGTTCATTGGCAGGGCCGGCCGCAGAGATGGGAGGGGAGAAACACGCTAGCTTCCTGTCCTCTTACGGAAGCGACGATCTGAAGTCACAAGTGGCAGTTGCCTGCCCCCTGTCCCCAGACACTCCGTGTCTGGTAACCATGAGGTTCCATAGTTCGGATCCTGAATGGGCCATTAGGAAGTGCAGGCCTTTGCCACACGAGCTGGAAGGTAGCCAGACAGTATCATTTCATTCAACTCTGGGGTTCCCACCTGACGGGGGAGTTAGGAAGTCCTGCCGCTTCCAAAGTCCTCTTCCCTTCCAGGCATTTGTGGAAAACCTTTTAGCAGAGCAAGAGAATTCTGCAGTCCAGCTTACCTCACACCTTACCCCAAGAGCCACAGTGGACGGTGGTGTGAGAATGTTTATATATAGGTACACATTTATATGTATATAGATCTAATTGCACATATACGGGTAGATATTTATATATTGCACCATAAATTATAGTAATAATAATTGTGAAGCTGTTTCTAAAGCTTCTTGTTCCTGGTTCTGAGAACCACAGGAGCCTCATACTGGGGAGCTATGCCCCTGGTCAGGGCTTTGAGGGTGCACAGCAGCCTAAGAGCAGCACGCCTATAGGGAAATGAGCGGGTGGGTATCTCAGAAAATGAGCAGCACACACCCCCAAGAAATGACCTTAAAAGCAAACATGGAAAGCAGGGGGCTGCTGCTGGCAGGGCACCACGGAGAGCCGGGCACCCACCTCACCTGTCTTGTGTCTGGCTTGCACGCTGGCTCCCCTGAGGTGGCTGTTTGAGCTCACTCCTGTCTTCTGGTGGTTAGTGCATCTTCAGCTCTTTCCTGCAGGACACTGGAACATTCTTAGGCTGTCCCAAAAGGGGTTCCACCATAGCCTTGAAGTCCTGAGCAGGTCATAAGGGGTTTACTTTTCCCCTGAGCCATTCAGTTGGGGTGCAGGTGGGAGGGGCGGGCAGCCAGCCGGCTTCCCAGCGGTGGTACGAGAGCCCAGCAGGAGAGGATTAGCTGTGCCAAGGAACTCGCTGCCTGTCTGCTGCCCACTTGCCCTCAGCCTTTATTTTTGCCCTTGTTTTTAACCTGTGTTGTTGTGAGTTCTTGGTGTGTTTCTTTGTGAGTTTTTATTTAATTGTGTAACTCTGTTTTTTCTGTTTACTGTGAAACCAAGGTGTCATGCTTTTAATTTTTTTTTTTAATCAAATGTTACATTCTTATTTAAGAGAATAAATTCCAAACAATCTTCGGGTTTCTGAGTTGTTCTTTTCCTTCCCTTTCTCTTGACCAGACGGTGGGACAGGGGGAAAGTCAGGCAGGTCTCGGGAGTGGGCTTGAGGCTGCGGTGGCTCAGGACCCCCACTCCTGTCAGCAGAGGTGCAAAGTGGGGAAATAGGTTTTTATACCTGACGCAGGTCCTTAGCAGAGGACTCCTGTGTAGGGGCTGGAGTGGTGCAAGAAGTTTTGCTTTGCGGCAGCTGCGAGTGAAGAAGAGCAAGAAAGATGCCACCTGTGCCTAGGGGCCTCAGGTGTGGTAGGCCAGCGGGAGGGCCCGCGGGCTGTGTGGACGGAGGGGTAGAAATGCCACACACAGCCTGGTGAACCATAGGGACGTGGAGCCAAGCACCTTCTTCCTGCCTCTGGCAGGGAGCCGGGGCCAGGGTGTGTCTCCTCCACCAGGAGTGCCCGCAGGCGCAGCAGCCTTGCTCCTGTTGAGGTTCAAAGTTCTTGCCCTTTCCTCCTTGAGCTGATTTTTCTCTCATGCTGTCTTTGGTGTGACCTGGACACTGAGCCGGGATATCTGATTCTGTTTGGCCGTTCTCCAGCCTGGGGGGACTAACCTGTATTAACGTCCCCTTCTCACACATGCCGCTGCTCACCTTAGCAGC